CCCAGGACACAAAATGCTGAGCTCCAACGCCAGCTCGCCCTGGCCCATGATCACATCCGCCAGCTCCAAGGAGGTCAACCCCTGCCTCCCCACCTCGCGACACAACCTGTTGCCCCTTTCATCTACCAACAGCATCAGACATAGGCCGCTGCGATGCATTTCACTCTTCCACCACCAGCCACCACGATGTGTCAGGGACCTTTGGCCCAACTCCCTGCTCTTTCTAGTTCTCTTGCTGGTGCCACTACGTCCTCTGTCCTCTTGTCACAGTCAGCTCTTCCTCTCCCTACCCATTATCAGCCACCGATGTACGTTCCACAATACCGACCGGATCGCCTCCCGCAGTTTCACGGCAGGGCCTCCGAGCTCCAAGGATGGATCTCCACTGCTGAGAAGCAGCTTCGCTACCATGGTGTCGCCATGGAGCTGTGGCCCGTGGAGATGTCCTCTCGTTTCACAGGTCGTGCAGTCTTCGCCTGGCGCAACTTCCTCGCCCTTCGCTCACAGCACGACGTACATGAGGGCATGTCTTATCCTGAGTTTCGCGACTTGCTTCAACAGTACTTTTCTCGCCCTGCGCCAACCCGCGACCCGATTACCCGTGTGGCTCAGATCAGATGGCTTGGTGGCGACAATGCCTTAGAGTCATACATCACGACATTTCACCGTGTACACGCTCAGATTCCCGTCACAACCATACCCGAGGACACCATGATCCAACGATTCCGCGCAAGTCAACCACAACCATTCCAGTTGCAGATGATGGCGTATTCGATCCCCACCTTAACAGAGGCTTTCAACATTGCTCGGGCCATTTATCTCACTTACGCTCCACTCGTCGGCCCCTCGCCTCAACCCGCCGCTGCCCATTCCGCTACTGCTGCAGCCCCTCGCCCCCCCCCAGCCTCGACAGTCTTCCACATTCCGTCGTGGCCCTCGTAGAGGCTCTGGACGATCCCTCTCTCGTCGCTTGCATGCCCTGCTTTGTGATTTATCGAGTGTTGATGACGACACCGCCTCAGATGGTTCTGCGAGTGATCCAGACCAGGGACCCGACCCTCAGTCCCCCGCAGAGGACGACGCCTCTTCCCAGGACGATCGCCTGGTCCGGGCCCTTTCCGCCCTCCTCCGTCGTTAGCCCTCTCTACAGTCCCTCAACTACCCCTCCCAACGGGCTTTGTGTTCCCTCGCAGCCGCTTGACCATCGCTGAGAGTGAGGACCTTCGTACACGAGGCATCTGCACCCGCTGCCGCCTCGCCGGCCATACCTCCTCTACGTGTCCGTATGCAGACGCCCTCCAGAGTCACTTCGCACAGCAGGCTCGCCCTCAGGCTGTCCCCCCCGTCACGACCTCCAGCGCAGCACCCACCTAGCCGCGATGTCTCATTCCCCTGACCCTCCTACGGTAGCAGGCATACCCGTTCGCGACTCTACCGCTTGCTACTCTTCCCGATGACTATGCTCCGACTTTATCTTTGGCTGACCCTACCGATACTGGTATACCTTCTCCTTCCTCGCCTAGCGTCTCTCATGGACCCCCTCCTCCACGTCCTCGTACCAGGCATGCTAATCGCACGGCCCGCTGCAGTGCTTCCCTTATTGCATCTGAGGATACCATCGACTTCCTGGACCTCAAGTGTGTTAAGGTCCATCAGGAACGTATCCGCCTTAAAGAGCGCACCCTGTTCGCGATGTCCCAACACCTACACAATCCTGATCGCACCTTACCGATTATTCCTGTGCGCCTCGGGACCTCTACTCGAGTGTATTACGCACTGTCGGACTTTGGCTCTACTGGCGACTTCATTCATCCTCGCGTTGTTAAGAAGGCATCTCTCTATACATCCCCCTACCCTTCCACTGTCACTGTCACGCTTGGCGACAATCAGGCCAAATCCTTCGTCGACTGTGTCGTGCCTGATCTTCCATTCTCCTTCCCCTTGCGAATGCCCCACAGCCTTCGCAAGGCCCCTCGGTTCCATGCATCGTAAAAATAGGGATAAAAAGCTATTTTATCTACAGAAGAGTTTATGCCCAATGGATTATTGGAACCATATTGATGTAAAGCAGCAATATGAAGAATACTAGCACCTGCAATTATAAAAGGAAGTAAGTAATGAAGACCAAAAAGCGATTGTTAACCTAAACCATCTCATTGCTGATATGGCTCGGCTTCCGAACCATACGTGAGACTTTCGCCTCATATGGCTCTTCTCAGAATCTATATTGATATTTGCTCTTTCTTATGGTATGGATTTAATTCAAATGTTTCTGTAAATGATCAGTGGACCTTCGACGTTATGGAAACCCTATATGATCTTGTTCTCGACACTGCCTACTCCCATCAGTTCGCCCATGCCGGCCCCGATTGGACCCACAACGATCTCGTCCTCGACGGCAAGGACGAGAAGCAATACCGTATTCCGTTGTTGGGCAAATCGGACTCTACACTTCCCCCCCCCCGGTTAATGCCACCATTTGTACACCTACCCAGTTCCACCACTTCCTTCGTCAGCCTGATGTAGAACTTTCGTTCTCGTTTCAAGCACTATGAGTTTACCGTCATGCCTTTCGGTCTCCGTAATGCCCCCGCCACTTTCCAGACGGCTATGAACACGATGTTCCAAGACCTCCTTGAGGACTTTGTTCTAGTCTACATTGACGACATCCTGATCTACAGTCGTACCCTAGAGGACCACCTGACCCATCTTCGCACTGTCCTGCAGCGACTACGCGACGACGGGTTTTATGCGAAGCTTTCCAAATGCATCTTTGCTCAAGCCAAAGTCGACTTCCTAAGGCATCAGGTATCCGAGCACGGCCTCCACATGGACGACTTGAAGATCCAGGCCATCGTCGATTGGCCTACCCCTACATCTCTCCCTGCTCTGCGTAGTTTTCTCGTTTTGACCAACTACTATGGTCCTTTTCTCAAAAACTACGTGCAATATTCTTCCCAGCTTACCCCTCTGACCCGCAGACGTCTCCCTTTTCATTGGACCCCGGCTCATGAGGATGCCTTCCGCTCTCTCAAGCGACTTGTCACGTCAGCTCCTGTCTTACACTTACCCGATTACTCGCGTCCATTCATCGTCACCACCGACGCGTCCGACTTCGCTATTGGAGCTGTTCTCTACCAGATCTACCCAGCCCCTTCTACTGCTCCCGATTCCACAGAGTCTCGCCTCCCTCGCATTCCTCGCTTCCCTCCCCCACCTCCAGCGACTGCGGCTCATCTTACACCCATCGAGCCCACCCCCTTACCTCCTTATATTCCTGACGTCGCAGATGACGGTACAGTCGGATCTCGTGATGGAGAGTGTCTGGTTGCTTATCTATCTCGACAGCTACGTCCCACTGAGCGTAACTATATTGCCGACGAGCGTGAGGTCCTTGCGCCGGTCTACGTTGTTAAGAAGTGGCGTCATCACTTGCATGGTCACACTTTCACCATTTTGACGGACAACTCTGTCCTCGCCGCCTTCCATACGAAACCTAAGCTCACTTCTCGCCAGGCTCGTCGGTGGCGTGATCTCTCAGAGTTCGACTTTACCATCAAGAAGATTTCCGGCGAAAGCAATCGCGTCGCAGATGCCTTATCCCGCCCCCCCGACCTTCAGTGCGAGGATCGTCAACTATCTACTATTTCAGCTCCCACCATCCACCCCGCCTTTCTGGATGAGTACCGCCGCGCATACACCCAGTGCCCCGAGTTTCAGTCCATCTACGCTGACCTACAAGCTGGCAAGTTCGTCCCTAACTTCAAGCTCGATCCCTCTCGACTCCTATACTGGCTTGGTCGCCAAGGTACCCGTACTCCTCGCTTATGTGTGCCCTCTACTGGCCAGCTCTGCGTTCGGGCCATCGCTGAGTGTCACGACCAGCGCGCCGCCGGTCATCTCGGTGTCTTCAAGACACTTGACCGCCTCTACCGCCATTACTACTGGGAGCACCATCGTCCCTTCACTAAGGAGTACGTCCGCACCTGCAGGATCTGCCAGGAGGCCAACATCCCCAACCCCCCCCCCTACGGTCTTCTTCAACCCTTACCCATTCCCACTCAGCGTTGGACTTCTGTCTCCATGGACTTCATCGGTCCTCTTCGTCCCCCTACCCCACGAGGCCACGACGCCATCTTCGTCGTTGTCTGTCGGTTGACTAAGCATGCTCACTTCCTCCCTTGCAAGTATGCTAGTTCAGCCAAAGACATCGCCTCCCTATACTTCAACCGTATTGCCATTCATCACGGTCTCCCCACTAGCATCGTCTTTGATCGCGATCCCCGTTTTACTTCTCATTTCTGGCGTGGACTCCATGAGATATATGGCTCCGAGCTCCGCCTCTCCTCCTCCTATCACCCCCAATCAGATGGACAGGCCGAGGTCACCAACAAAACTCTTGGGAGTATCCTCAAGAAGTTTGTTGAGAATGACTCTGATTGGGATCTCCACCTTGCTCACGCAGAGATTGCTTATAACCATGCTATTTCACCTGCCACTGGCATGTCTCCCTACTACTATGACTTGGGATACCATCCTCGTGTCCCATCTGACCTTCTCCGTCCATCTCAGATCCATCCCGACACCAAATGCCCTGCCCTCGATGACTGGGTAAAGGAGATGGATGCGCTTCTTAGCAAGGCTCGCGAGAGCATTGCTGACTCCCAGACTCGCATGACCAAGTTGGCGACGAGATTCTTATCGACGCACGTCACTTCCAGCTTGAAGCTGACACCGTTCGGAAATTCAGACGTCGATATATTGGACCATGCACCATTCTTGCACCCGCCGGACCCAATCATGACTGTCCGGTGAGCTTCAAATTGAAGTTCCCCGATTCCATGTACCGCGCTAACTTACATGACGTGTTCCATGTATCTTTTTTGCGCCCCTTCAGACGCCTCCCGAGTTCCACGGTCGACCTTACCCTTGCCCCTCTCCCATCATCATTGAGGGTCACGAGGAGTTTGTCGTCTTTGATATCGCGTCCCGACGTATGACTGATGGCGACCCTCCCCGCCTCGAGTATCTCATTCGATGGAAGGGTTACCCTGACGAGGAGTCTACTTGGGAGCCTCTCGAGCACCTGAAGCATGCTATGACTTTCGTGCGTGCTTACGATCGTGCTCATCCTTTCCCTTCTTCATCCTCCCCTCCTACTTCTCGTCCTCCCACTGACCCATCGACCTCAGCGACCACTAACATTCCCCCTCCTCCATCGATGGGTCCTCCTGCTCCACTGGTACCCGCCTCAGGTACTTCCCCTGTGGATGTGGTTCCGCCTGTTGTTGCAGTTGACTCCTCTCGCCCTCAGCGTACCCATCGACTTCCTTCTCGCTATCGTGACTGATCTATACCCCCTATACGCTCTCTATTTTTTACCATTCTTCGACACTTATGCAACAACTCCTGGTTTCGGCTTCTATATTCGACTTCTACATTTGGCTTCTACATTCATCTTCTACATTCGACTTCTACATTTGGCTTCTACATTCATCTTCTACATTCGACTTTCGACCTCAATGCTTCTCCTCAGTACCAGAGTACCTGTCGCATTGTTCCGGACTTCTACTCGGTTCTTGCGGGTACTCCTACTTCATCCAGGCCACTTCGGTTCGACTTCAGTCTAAAGACTCGTCAGTTGGATTACTTCACTTCTTCAATTACAAAGTTCCCATCATTCCCACCTATCCACCACACTCGAGCTTACCCTTCAGTCGCATGATGACCCCTATTTTCCCTGTCTATGTGGGTGTGTCCGTCTGCCGCCCTTCTGCCTTACCGTATGTTGTGCGCCCTCCTCTGGAGTGTACGTTTTCTTTGCTCGCGACTTTTGGCCACATGTCTATGCCGACATAGCCCTCTCTCCCTCCAGGCTCACCTTATGTGTGTTCCCTTGTGTGAGTGCCCTTCCCCCTTTCAGCTGGTGGTACCTGTTTGATGGTTTCCATTGAGCCCAGTGTCATTCTGTTACTCTCCCTCTGAGCCTGATGACCATTACCTGGTTGTGTGGGTGCCCCGTTGACGTTTACTCTGAGAGTTGTACCTGCCGCCTTCCCACCCATTCCTACCTCTGCCATGCGACTGAGTTCCCTTCTCTTTTGTTCAGGCATTGTGCGTTGCGTACAGGGCCCGTGAGACTGTGCCACATTCTTTTTCGACTTAGGACATTGGTTTAATTATTCTTTGGCCTTTAGGGCCTTGGTGTTGATTTATATTCAGCCTCCTTGGCTCAGGAGACATTTTTCTCTTTCTTGGCCGACACAAGTCAGACTTTTTCTCTTTCTTGGCCGACACAGGTCAAACATTTTTCTCTTTCTTGGCCGACATAGGTCAGACATTTTTCTGCTTTTTGGGTCGACTCAGACCGGACATTGTTGCATAGATTAGGCTTGAGGCTTAGTCTGCGTTGCATCTCTTTTCCTACATGGGTCTTGCTCCGCATCTAGGATTGTTTCCTTTGTCGTTCCTTTTGGGTTTCCGCTATTTCAGCGGATAGCGTGTTTGATGTATCGCTTGATTCATTCACAGGTCTGAGATCGTGTAGCGGTACCCCTACGGCCCGACATTGAGACCGGACCAGTTTCGGGCCGTCGGCCTGACCCCGGTCCAGTACCAGGTTGTTCCCGTACCTGGACCTAGGCTGGTATATCACTTCGGCCTAGGCCCAGGTCCGGGGTCAGTTCGTTCATTCAGTTGTCCGTTCTTTCATTGAGCCGGACTGGACCTTCACTCAGCTGCTGCTTCTTGTGTGTCCATCTCCTCTCTCTCTCTCTCTCTCTCTCTCTCTCTCTCTCTCTCTCTCACCAGCTCCGCACGTGCCATCTGCACGTGCGTCACATTATGGATATAAATATTATAAATTGATATTAATATAATTATGGGGCGTTGCTCCACTACTCACCACATGCAAAAAGACAGAAAATACAGCGGTTCATCTTCCCATGTCCTAGCGGATAATTCACCGAGTTTTCACTCTCATTTTGCAAATTGGTGAGCAGTGGAACGAGGCCCTATGTTACCTACAAAGAGAAACAGGAACTGAGGGATTGGGCCCCACTCAACTACTCACCACATGCATATTTCCATGTTCTAGCAGAACATTCATTATCATTTTGCACATTTGGCGAGTGGCGAATGAGGCCCATTGGTTAACAGAAAAGAACGGAGCAACAACCGCAGGTCACGCACAACAAGACAAAACTATCTTCATATTTAGTACATACTACATACAGCAGTGGTGCTTTTCTTTTCTTTTGTTTTGTTGTCACAAATGAACTTTGCCCCCAGGCCAGGCTACATTAGCACTCTGAATACATTGCAAGGAAGATGAGCAATAGCGAACTTCAGCAATCAAACAGCATCATACATATGAGTCCAAATAGTCTTGACCTCGAACCAACAGCAGAATTGCATCACGAGATTCACCAAATAAGAACACACCAAGAGTTCATAATTGACAATGCTGGAATAGACCCATCATCATCATCAACGAAGAACCAGAGTTGATATCCTATCTGGCGCTCGGCCCCAGACTACATGTGGCAGATCCTATCTAGCCTATACTACAATGCTGAAGTTGACAACAACAGCTCCCCCGAAGTATAAGCATACAGCGACCAATGTCGCATGCTTCCAGCACCAGGTATGTCTCTCGCCTTACTCACAACCTCGTTCCCCAACACACAGATGCCACT